CAACTGATCTGACTTTTGTGACGATTGTTTTTCTTTCAAATGCCTTTGTCTGACATCGGGTGATTGGTCAGGCATGTGGATGTTCCTCGAGAGCCCACCGACTCATCAGCAGCTGTCTACAAGTCCCCATGTAGGCCATCAGTTGTACTCTCGTCTCTCCCTCTACAGAGGTAACCGTTCAGACCAGGAGAACCCCACCTGTTTATCTTTCCGTAGCTGCTCTGTTCCAAATCGTGTTTGATCACACAGTTCAGGAGTGTTAGTGAACTTTCTGAACGGTATTAAAACAGCAACATGTTAAATCTGTGCGTTTCGGACTTTTCTTAATGTTTGGCATTTTTTAAAGAAAAGTAATCTTACCCGTTTAATTTAACCCCTTGTATTGTAAAGCCTCGCTATCTGATGAACGCCTCTCCCTTTCCCCTACTGCTGAGTTCTTGTCTTCTCTCTGCTTCTCAATTTGTTCTCGTTCTCTCTCTCTCTCTCTCTCTCTTTCACTCAGGACAATCTTGGAGAATCCATTGGCTGCTCTGCCAAAGTCTGCCCCTTGTCCACCTCCGACCAAACAAAGCCCAAAGGCCAGGAGGGCTGCCGCCACTATTGCTGCTGTAGTGACTGCTCAACATAGGTAGAACACGAATAAATAGCTGGTGAAATGCTGAGCGTTTCGGGTTCTAGATAACAACACCTCGCATTTATATACAGTAGTGTCCTTCACGTCGTGTAGTTTCTCGGAGCACTTAATAATTACGTCGTTTGAGGCTGAGATGGAGAGAAACGCGTGACAGCAGGCAAAGAGCGAGGCTTAGAGGGAGAGAGCTTGGCGTTAGAAGCTGACGGCTCAGTCACCAATGGTGGCGTAGAGGGATCGTGCAATGGGTTAGCTGAGAGGAGGGGGGGCATGGAGTAGCAGAAGAGAGTGGGCAGAGGTTTATACGTGAGTGAGAGGACCTTGAAGTCAGTCTGTTGGGAAGACAGGGAGATATATCAAATCTCCACAATTGATGAAGAGCAGAAGTAATTTGGGGAGAACGTCCAAAAATACCTGTATTGTAACCCGTCTAGTATTGTGTGTAATTTTGACATGCGTGTTAGAAAAGGGTGGGGTAGAGACAGAGAGAGATTGTCGGACATTTAGAGCTCAGGACCCTCTGGTCTTTGAATTTCATGTTTCAGCCACATTTAGTCACTTCTGCGAACGATTGGAATGCCATTTCGTTAAGCTTTTAATTCGAGCAAGATGCCAGAGACGTTTTTATTATTTTGTCTCGCCAGAAACGCACTTTAAAATCTGATGGTTGAGAATATTTATATTGTTTTTGTTTTTAAAAAAAAACAGCAGCCGGCTTTCGCCAAAAAATGTGCGTTTTTTTTAATGTCCTTCATCCTGCAAATGCTTCTGGCCATTTTCTGCTTCGTCTGCGTATTTCTTCTCTGATTCCCCTCTTCCGTTATCTTTCTTTTTCCTTCCGATAATCTGTTCCCGCTAGACTCTCTGATCCTGTTGTATCTCCATCTCTTCTGGATGCTCTGCTAATCGCTCCAATCACAAAGCCTCCATCTGTACACTGCAAATTACCCAAACGCAAATCTACCAGCTCCGCCCAGATACACAAGAACAAGAGGTATGAGAAAAAAGACTGCTCTTGAATATTGAATAAATAATAATAATAATAATAATCCTTGCATTTGATACAGCGCTTTTCACGTCGGGAGGACGTCCTAAAGCGCTTCACAGAACACACTGTAAAGTGAATTGACTGTATATTTGTGGGCGAACGCGGCAGCCAATTGCGCACAGCAATGTCCCACAAACAGTCGTAGATTGAAAATGACCAATTTATTATTGTTTTTGGTTTTGGAGGGATTATTATTAGGCTCTGTGTGGAGTAAGGAAACTTGCCCAAGGTTTCGCCCTCTGCCTGGAGTGGAACTCAGGTCTCTCACTTGCAAAGCGAGTGCTCTGGTTTAGACACCTCTATCCAGTATTATTCCACTATTCAACTTTCATCCAACGGCACGGCGATTGTAACTTTTATTTAAAAAGTTACAAGAGAAGATTCCATGTACAGGTGGTACACAAACATGGAACTCTCGATCTGGTTTGGATACTCTGAAGCACGGTGATGGGTTTCTGCAAGTCTTAACATTAGCACACGAAAGGCGTGTGCCGCGCTGATAGTTTTAAACCTTTCCGTTCAGATCAAAGTTCTCAGTGCCAAAGGAAAATCAGAGTGAGATGTCAGGATACGCTTCCGCTTTGGTTTGAATTCCGATGCCAACTTTACCTCTTTTCTTCCACAGCCATCGTATTTCTCCATTAATATTTATAGAGACCGGGCAGGAGTAAAACAGTCACATGTTCAGATTGGGGGGAAAAAAAAGCCTATAAAGCGTAGTGAATGTATTTTGTGGATGAATGCGGTAGCCAATTTGCACAAAGCAATGACTCACAAATAGCCATGTATAGATTAGTAAATTAACAGAGGTTAAAAAATGCTTAACTTGGGGGGGGGGGGGAAATAAAACACTGTACTAACTGTGGTTCTGTGGTGGAAAAGGCATCTTGAAACCTAAAGTGCATCTTGTGCTTGTGCTGGAATCCTATGCACATCAGACCGACTGATGAGATCACTGCGCTATGGAGATTGTGGGTTGGAGTGGACTTGTGGAGTCAGCAGGACCTCCGTGGGGTTTCCATGGACAAGCTACACTTTATCAGTGCTCCCTTCTCTGTGCTTCTCTCCGTTTACATTGCAGGCGCATGAAATGATTCATAGATCTTGCTCCACTGTGAAGGAACTTGTTTAAATGCCTGTTTTGACTTGGCGCACCATAATTATTCATAAAGGTGGCACCTTGGTGCTGTAGTCTGCTGGGTATGTACCTGTGGTGCCTCCCAGCATGAGTTCCTCATATTAGTGCTATTTTAGGAGGTGCTGAACAGAGTCCACTGGACCCAAACACGGAGGGGTGGGGGGGGAGAAAGAAAACCATAACATTCTGATAAGCACTAGTTACTCTAATCCTCGTCTAACCTCCAAATATGATTCTACTTTGGCTTGACTCCTGGTCTTTGATCTTCTTGTTTTTGCAGTGTTACTTGGCACCAATCTGTTTCCTCTTTAGAAAAGTCATCTTACAACTTTTCAGTCTCTTCGGTTATGTCTGCACAGTCTAGGTAATATTTCTCGCTCTTCTGAGTGTTTAAATAACAAACTGCCTAATACTGTACCTATCAAACTAAAGCACACGACTCATTGGGAAATCGAACTTCAATCGCAGTCTGACCTAAGTTGCTGTCAGAGTTGGTCTGGAGATCAGCACTTTGAACATTAACCAAGTTTGACTCCTAACCAAGGAATCCAGTTTTTGACGTGGGATATTGTTTATAAAGTGAATATGTATACAGATGGTTAACCTATGAGAGAAACTGGGAAACCCACACAGGCTGCTCCGTACTGGGAACTGGGATCCACTGACATCTTTGTATTTAACAGCTTAGTTTTTTCAATTCCCGGTAGCTCCACTTAACCCTTTCCCATTCCAGATGGATACAATGAATAGCACTTCTAAAGATAGATTCGAGGGAAGGTAAACATGATCTCCTTTACCGGGGCCAGGAAAATCCAAGGCCTGTTTGATAAGTGGCTCAATTGCTCTTCAATGTGCAAACAGATTCTCAACACTGCGAGCCAAAGACCTAACTGATAGGGCTAGTTAATACGGTGCAGCATACTAGCGTTGGTAAACTGCATTACACCTTTCATGCGTGTGTCTAATGTGTGCTCAGATAGTGAGTGTCTACAGGCTAGTTGATGTTGCAGATATTTTTTGGCTAATCTGGTCCAATTTTCTAAGTCACAAACCTGGAAGTACTAACCGCCGGTGGCTGTTTTACGGTCTCGCTTGTAAAGCTGGTTGAAAATTTTGGATTCCTATTAATCACGACGCAGTGGAGTTCCCCCTGTACGTAGTTTCTTTTCTGACCACGATTTTAACCTACACTATCACAAGAGCAAAATAGGAGCTTCGGGAAAGATTGTCTACGTAATTCTGTCTGGTCCTATAAACAAAGCTATAATTATGTACTTCGTGTAACAGCATATTTTTAATTCGATTAAATAAATATTTGGGATTCAAGTGAGGACCGCAGATGAGACCTGAAAAACAGACTTTCTATTTATCGGAAATGTTCGGAGATTGCGACATTATCGCTTGTGGGCCACTTGAAAAGTATTACTCTGAACATGTTGAGCGTGTAACTTTCTGTGTGTGTGTGTGTCAGTACTTTTGCTTGCCAAGTGCACTCTAACCTCAGTTATGAATGGAATGATGTGGGTGTTTTGTTGACTTTTCGAGCTTTAATTGCACCTGGTCTTCATCACCCCGAGTACAATGTGCGGACCCCAAGCCGAATAGAGCAAGGGTGGCTGAAAGGCTTGACTGATTTGCACTGTGTGTTTTAAGGCTTATGAAATGTGTGTGCAAACACTAAAATCCTTTTGTTCAACGATGAGGCAGAAACATCAACAGTCTTGTTTGCACGTGCAGGTGACTGACAAAGGTGCTTTAATTTTGTTGGCTTATCGCACACTCGCCTTTTAAAATGAAAAGGTTGTTCCCACAAAGGACTGAACCTGTTGTGGGAGAGGAACAGGATACTGGTATACACGTGCACGCTGCAGAATGTCAGTGGCTCATTGCTGTAATCCTTGGAGGGGAGCGGGTTGTTTCAAAACATGAACACTATCACAAGAGAGTAACGAGAGCTTCAGGAAAGACGTTCTGTGTGCGTAATACAATCCGGTCTTTTAAACAAAGCCATAATTAAATAAATTATTTGTGAAGCAGCACATCTTTAATTCAATTAATTAAATACTTGGTATTCAAGCAAAGACTGTGGAGAGCATTGGCTGGATGTCCTGGGCGAAGGCGTTGACCAGAGAGTGCTGTCAAGTCTATTATTCACAAATGAGTTTCTTGTTCTTGCTTTACAGTTGCGATGGTGTGGAGATGCATCAGCCCAGTGTCCCAGCGATGGCTTCAGTAAAACCCATGACCAAGGTTTCCAGCGTCATGTCTCGCACAACACCTCCTGCTCCAGGATCAATCCCATCGTTCAAACCTTCTGTGGCCTCTGGCAATGTCAGGGTGACAGGCTGGCAACCCAAGAACCAAGCAGGTAAACCACCTTCGAGTCTCTTCACAAAGGCAAGAGTGAACCATTAACCTCTTCGCTAAAGGTTTCCGAGTTGAAAAGTCCAGCACCGAACTGGTATTAAAAAAAACACATTTCCGTTACTTCAGCAAAGCTTCATATTGTTGAGAATGAAAGCACCAACAATATTCTAAATGACTTGAAATAATATTTACACTGTTCTGAAGAAGTAAGAATCATAGATGTTTAGCTTACATGCAAGGTTAATAATGAAAATGTCTAACTGGGGAATATTGCTGCAATTATTTTATTTAAAAGGAAATTATCTTTATTTTGTTAAAGAGTGGCAAGGCATTAAGTCATTATCACAGAAAAGGGGGTGCTTTTTCCCTTTGCTTGCAAATGCTTCTTGTATTGGGAATGCCACCAGTGCAAAGCAACTTTCTATTCACTTTCAGGTACATGCATTTAGCTGCGTTCACGGTTTCGGTCATGATTTGGTGAATGGTCTGGTTTCAGTTTACTGAATGCCCTCAATAGCCTGAATACTTTCAAAGGCAATCATGCTTTCAGTCTCACGCCAAGCTCAGTCCTCTCGACCCTGTTTACTGGCCACATGTACATATGATGGGCTCAGTCTGGCCTGGAACAGGTGATCACAAACTGGGTTTTGTCTCAAAATCTACAACAACAATTTGTACTTATATAGCGCCCGCCACACAGGGTAGCGTCTCAGAGCGCTTAACAGTGGCGGAGCCTGACTCCGCGCCGGGGAGGGGAGGTGACCGTAAAATTCTTATGAGGAGTAATTATCTATAATTACACTCGACAATGTCAATTTCTCTTGAGGTTGTACTCTCTTGAGTTCAATTTTCTGGTACTTTAATCTGAATTTTTAATAAGGAAATGGGACTCCAATTAACCAAAAGGTATGGTGTGATGACTCCCTGGAACTCTTAAGTGTGTAGTGATATTTGAAGGTGTCAGGCATGGGCTTCAACTGTGAGATGCTCCCTGACTCGCACACAGAAGCCTGGATAGTCTTGATTGCCTTTTGTATGTGTTTCTTCTCTTCAGGCAGCAAATCATCAATAACAATGTGAGCGAGGTTCCTCTCTTCCCTTTGTCGTTCCAGATGGAACAGTCGGCCATTTTCAGCGACTTTGCTGGGATGCCAATGCTTTGGGAGGCTTTGGTTTGAACCGATGTTTCTTTTGTCCCAATTACTCTGCAGATGCCAGTGTAACACCCGCTTTACAGTGGTGAGAACGGCAGCATTGAGTTACACTGCCAGCTGTCTAGGTACAGGGACAAAGTGAAGCTCGGCACATACGTGCTTCCACTTGCACAGAGCTTATGTTAATTGCAAAGCTCAAGTCATTTGGAACACCTTTGCTTGGCCACCTCCACTACCTCAGTAAGCTCAACAATTGAAAGACAAAAGCCATTTAATGACAGGTTTCAAAAATGTTTTTCAAAAATTCATGGCTCTTTTGCCTTGTTTGGACCAAATCATTCAAACGATGGGCTGTGTGGCTCCTGTCGTAAAGCTTTCCTTTAGGAATTGGCTGGTAAAGAGGTTATGATTTGGCGAAAAATGTCTTCAAAGTTCCTTGACGTAGAAAACACAGGACCAGACTCCTCTGAATGAACACTGGCCTGAATGAATCGTGTTCCCTGCCCTATGTGCCCCAAAATTATCAAGTGATCTTACAGCTCCCGCTCTCTGGAACTCCATTCCCAGATTACCTTCCCTCCTCACTTCCAAAGCCTGCCTCAAGACTTGCCTCTTTGACCTCGCCTTTGGTCAACTTCTTACTCTCCTTTCCAACCCCATCCCCCCACTACCTTCCTCCCTCAGGTGCACAGGCAGCTGTGTAAAGCGCTTTGAGACGTCCTCCCGATGTAAATCTCAACAGAACCGTGTATTGTGTTGTACCCAGCTACACTCTGCTTGAATTCACTCGAATTCAAGATCCTCATCCTCACCTATAAGGCCATTCACGGCCTCGCTCCCTCCTATCTCTCCGACCTACGATCCTCCTACTTACCTGCCCTTACCCTCCGTTCCTCTGGCTCCGGTCTGCTCCACATCCCCCGCCCCAACCGCCCTACCATCGGTGGCCGGGCCTTCAGCCTCTCAGCCCCGGGGCTCTGGAACTCCATCCCCCAGTGCCTTCGCCGCTTCCTCCCTTTCCTCCTTCAAGGCCGATCTCAAGACCTTTCTCTTTGACCGAGCCTTCAGCTCCCCTCTCGACTCTCTACCCCCTCCTCGCTCCCTCCCTTCCCTCCCCTCACCCTGACCATTTCCCCCCAATGCTCGGGTCCTGACCCAACTGTCCGGCGCCTTGGGACGTCCTCCTGATGTGAAAGGCTCTCTATAAATGAAATCTTGTTGTTGTTGTTGTTGTTGTTTGGCGTGTTTATATCCTGAAAATACCCAGATATCCTGGGTATCTGCTCAGTTGCGCTGGGTTGCAGCATTGCCTGCACACCATCAGCCCCAGTAAAAGCTTTTCCTGTGAACCAGCTGTGAACTATTGGATTCTACGGGGAGTGGCTGGGGAGGTGGGCAAGGAAATATTTAACCGTTTCCCCTCAAGATGTCCATTTACTGGTATCGATGTTCAGACTTTCCAAAGGAGTGTTTTCCAGATGTTCTTTGATCAGATTGCGAGCAGGAAAATGTTGAAACAATTTAAGTAGCAGAAAATTGGGCTGAAATCTGGCCGGAGACTAGGAAATGGTGGGGCAGTTATAAATGATTGTTTGTGCTGGGGACTAGCGTAGAGCATGGGCCTTTGGAACGCAACTTTTCACAGTGTCCAACAAGAGGATTAAAAGCAGAAGGTTTCAACTCAGCCAGTGAGACGGAATCTGCGCAGGTAGGTCAAGTGCCTGGAGGAGACGGCTACTTGGATTCGCTCAGCGCTGCGTTTAAACGACCTAAAAATCTGGGGAGCTGTTTCGAAAACAAACTCCTGTACAAAGACGCAAGTTTTTTTTTGCCATGATAATTCCAGACAAGTGTTTGAAAAGGCATCAACAGCACAAGGCGGTGAGTCATTAGCCAAAGAAGTAGGAGGACCTTTGCCAAATTCAGCACGTCCAAGTCTGAGGCTGCTGAATTAATATCCTCCAATATCGCCAAAGGGATATATTTGTGCCCTGGGAAGGCAAGGAATCAGATAATCTGGGTATCGTTCCATGTTCCCTGACGCTGTGTTTCCAACGTTGGGGAGCTTCGGATTGGCTCCAAGGCCAGTCCAAAACACCACCCCTCGTCTCAGTGAATAGACCAGCACACATGTGTTTTTGTGTTAAAAAGGCACGGATTTGTTTCCAAAATTCGAAATATTTTCAAGCCATTTGCGTACTACTTGTTTACACGAGTGCTCCAGCGTTAGCCCAACTTGTAAACAAATAGTGTTGGATGCTGCGAGCTACAGAAGGTCTTGAAACTCCATGTGACTGAAGAAGGAGCCTCTGTGGCCTAACCTAATTTTAAGTTGAGATAAAAGCACAGAAGCTCCTTCTTTACTGCCTTATCCTTTTTTTCTGGATCTTCATCGTAACTTGAACCTCTGTGCCTTTACCTTAACTTCAATCCCTGTCCCCCTATTTCCTTCGGTGTTGGATCTATTTAACTCCACAATCTTTCAATCCGGATTTATTTCATTGTGCGTTTATACATACTGCACACGGTGCATTACCTTGTACATGTTCTGTGATTTGAAAATCAGGATTGAAAATCCTCCGGGATAGTTTTCCACCTTTTCTATCTGAGCAGGTTTGGTACTGAGTGACCTTGCTTAGTGTTGAGAGCTTGCTTAGTTCTGTAGCTCATTGGTTAGAGCACTCGCCTCGCAAGTGAGTGACCTGGGTTCGATTCCCGGCAGGGTGAAATGTTGCGCAAGTTTCCGTACTCCACACGCCTCTGTTTACCTAGCGGTAAGTAGGAACCTGGTTGTTAGTCGATTGGCCTCAATCGACTAATCCCTGAAAAAAAAATTTGGTCCCTTAATCCACGACTGTTTGTGGGACACTGCTGTGCGCAATTGGCTGCCGCGTTTCGCCCACAAATATACAGTCAATTCACTTCACAGTATATTCTGTGAAGAGTTTTGAGACGTCGAGAAGACGCGAAAAGCGCTATATCAAACGCAAGGCTCAGTATTATTATTCAACATTGGCAGAAACGCTTTGTGGGAGTTGAGTCTTCAGTTTTAGATGCTGGGAATTCAGAAAAGTAGAATGACGGATGACAGTTCTGGAGTGTATAGGAGAGTTAGGATGCTTTCCCCTTTACATGTGGAGGTATTAGCTCACAACGTTATCAGGATAATAATAGTAATAATAATCATAATAATAATAATAATCCTTGCATTTGATATAGCGCCTTATCACGACTTCGAGACGTCTCAAAGTGCTTCACGGTAGAATTCTGACCCTGCGTGATTTTCGTACAAATACACAGCTACTGTGCTTAACAGCAATTACCCCTGAAGCTGTTTAAGGCCCTTTGATGCTGCAGGCGCTACATCAGACACTGTTTCAAATACAGGGGTTTGTATTTATCATCCGCACGGGTCTCACCCCAGCTCTTGCCAGGCTCCATGGCCTTTCTCCCAGTGGATTGATTTCAACGGTCTCGCCCTCACTATAAATCTTTTCACTCCAGCGTCTCCCGATCTCCCCGCTTTCTCCTAACCGCCCCCCAGTCCTCTGCTCGCCCCCTCCGTTCCACTTCCAGGTTTTTTATTCTGTGAAACCTCAGAAACTCCCTCCCTCTATCCCTCAGTCTCACTTCTCGAGTCCTGCCCTTCAGTCGTTTCACCCTTTCCCTGTCTTCCTCTCCTCAGGTCAGGGTCCCACCTCCTCATGGTAAAGTGCTCCGAGATGTTCCCCTTCCCTGAAGGGTGCTATGTAAACCCAAGTAGATTTGTGTTGATTGAAGAGTCCTTGATGGAATATGAATCCATTTTAGTTTGCTTCTCTCCTCTCATGCATCTTTTCATTGGCGC